CCGATTCAAACTCGGTATCACTCAAAAGTTGTATTTTCCATTTAATACAAATACACAGATTATTTTTCATACAGATCCTGGTTTATACGGATTTTGTAAGCTTTTTGAAGAAGTTTTCCGAATGTAAAGTACAATTTTATTGCTACTTGCTGCTCCGTGACGTCCTCCAACGTCATGGTTTTTTGCTTTTATTAATCAAGTCTATATGTATTTAGAAACTGATATCTTTTAAATGGAACGACATATTACATAACCTGATTTCATTTTAACTAATACAGCAATACTTTATTTAAACATGTAAATTTTATTTCGTTTCAGTTCCATTCATTAGAAGGTATGGCTGTACCTACTATAAAGTGAAAATTAGTAAATTACCGAAATTTGACGGTGCTCCGTGACCCAATTTTTGCTGTTCTAAATCCTTGGTAATTTTAATAAATATGAAGATACATTCCAATTTTTTTTACTCAAATTATTTTAAAAAGCTTAAAAACTTACGACTTTTCAACTTTATACACAACAATTCCCCACGATAAATTAAAATCCAGGCTTTTTGATATCATTGACAGCTGCTTCTTCAACAAAATTGGAACTCGTAAATTTACTTACCTCGTCATTGGTCATTTAAAAAATTACTTTGTTAACACAGATTCTGATTGCACACATAAGTACTCTGAAGTTGACATCAAGAAAATGCTTGAGTTTCTGATTGACAATATCTATGTGGTTTTTGGAGACCAGGTATTCCAACAATCTATTGGAATTCCCATGGGTACAAATTGCGCTCCGTTATTAGCAAACTTATTTTTATATTCATATGAAGCAGAATTTATGCAAAATCTTATGCGTGAAAAGAAGAAAACACTTGCTGTGGCCTTCCACTCGACATTTAGATATATCGACGACGTTTTGTCAATTAATAATGATAATTTCCATTCTTATGTCGACACGATATATCCTGGTAAACTTGAGATAAAACATACCACACAGTCCGACACATCTGCTTCTTACTTGGATATTTTACTTGAAAAAGACACTAATGGTAATCTAACAACCAAGCTGTATGATAAACGTGATGACTTTAACTTTTCTATCGTCAACTTCCCTTACTTATGCAGCAATATACCTCCATCACCTGCATACGGGGTATATATATCCCATTTGATTCGATACGCAAGAGCATGCTCTACGTATGAACAATTTCTTAAACGAGGTAGATTATTGACAAGCAAGTTGATGAAACAAGAATATCAACAGTCTCGTTTAAAGTCATCATTTCGTAAATTCTATGGTCGATACAATGACTTGTCGGCAGGTACAATTTATTATTGAATGAAATGCTGACTGACGTATTTCATACCAATTGTTAATCCATTATTTATACACTGAATTGATGTCGGATTTTTTCCGTTATTTCCTGATTATGACTATAATTTGACGTTAAATAAAAAAGTTAGGACAAAAGTCTACGAACTTTTTGAATGACCCTCGCATATATAAATTCGTAGGGATGTAAATTTGTTGGTCAGGGTTATCCACGAAATCCACGAACATTGGTAACATGTATTGCATTACATGTATCAAATTGAAATTGCTATAGTTGCAGATCTGAAGCGTTATAGTTTTATATATTTCTCTTTTACTATAACGTTACCGATCCCTGAGATGCAAGAAAACTGAGAGCTGATGCTAACCACCATGGCACCAGACCCCTCATCTGTTTTCAGAGGGTTGAGATACAAACAATTATCTATTGGAATTCCAGTGGATACCAATATCGCCCAGCTATTAGTAAACCTATTCTTGTTTTTATTTGAAGCAGAAATTGCTTAAATCGTTTCCTTAGAAATAAGAAAACACTTGCTGTGGCCTTCAACTCGACATTTACATATGTGGACCCCGTATTGTCGATAAACAATAAATTCAACTTTTGTAACTTTATAATATATTCTTGTGAGCTTGTAATGTAAAGTAATAAAACAGTTTGTTACACATGTTTCATTTTTGAATTTTCATTTATATTTAATTGACATTTATATTTATCATTAATACACAAAAAAAGCTTTATCATTAACGTGTTGACTTTAACTTTTCAATCGTCAATTTCCATTATTCATTCAGCAATTTACACTTGTCACATGCATACGGAGTTAATATATCTCAGTTGAATCGATACGGAAGGGCATGTTAAATGAACATTTTCTAAAAGGAAGCAAGTATTTACATAAAAGTTGATAAAGCAAGATTATCAACAGTCTCGATTTAAGTCATCATTTCTTATTTCTATGTTTGATACAAGAGTTACCTCCCGTTATCGGTGTAACGCTCATTTTCCAACCTTGTCCTTTGTAATTTAACTGTTGATATTTTAAATCTTCAAACGTTATCAGACAATTTCGATCCGTACCTGTATTGCCAGATTATGGGGCAACATGAAAAACATAATGAGGATATTCATTACGATTTATTTCAAAGATACAGACCCTTAAAGTTGGTAAGGTTATAGAGGGAAAAAAGCGTCTTACGCCGGAGAATAACTTTTGTAAATGTGAAAGTCGTCTATAGCAAATACAATTCATCATCAAATCAAATGCTGATATCGCGAATTTTTTCATTCATGTGTAACCCGTCCAACTAAGAAGCTTACCCATTCTAGGCTCCTGATCCTACCTACTTCTGGAAATTCCGGGGTTTCATGTTTTTACTATCTGTTCAAGGATAAGTTTTTCTGATATTAATTTATGTTTGTCATCATTATATATTCAACAAATGGAAACAAAGAAAAAAAAGAAAAAGTTTAAGAGACTATGGTTATGGTGTTCTTCATTGATTTTTTTTTCCAAAGAAAGAAATTTTAACTTCAAGTTGGTTCATCTATAAAGGGTCCATGAAATTCAAAATGTTTGGATACATATTTGTTAATTGGATAAAACATCATTTTTATATCTTAAAAGATACCTTGCCTATGTCACAACGAGTTAAGCTAAGAAAGTATTACTCCGCTATTTTTAAAATATGCTGAATTTGAATCTATTTTTGGAGGGGAAATGTTCTTATTCTCTACACTAAAGTTAAATTATTTAGCAGAAACTGTCCAAAATTATGTGAATTATATCGTATAACATAGGTTAAAATAAGCTTTATTCCTTAAGCAGAGATTATAAAATAATTAATGCATTTTCTCTATTATTATCAAAAGAGCTTAAACCTAAAACCAGAACCTTCTGAACATGGAGCCATGAATTTCACAATATAAGTAGAAGGCTTCATGCTTAATAAAATCTTTAATAGTTTGATTTAGATTTTAAAAAGTTGCATCAAGTTTTGTAGTGTAAGTCTTACCCCTAAGGTCGTAGGGAAAGGGGGTGGGGTGGGGGGTCAAAATGTCACAATTTTTAATTTCTCTTGACAAATAGCTGCTATATGTCAAATTTAATTTAAATTAGTCCAGCAGTATCAGAGAGAGCTTGAAAATATTCAAACGAACGACATATGCAAAAGGAACGTGTATTGATTACCTGAGTGACTCAGGTGATATACAAATCACAAATAATTCCTCTGTGCATCATTCCCTGTACTGAAATATGATTTTCCCCCCAAATTAATAAATTGGAATTCATATAAATTATGAGTGTATCTTTTCTTCAACTTTCTCATTTATTTCAAATAAGAATATACAAATTAAAGTATATTCACATATACATCTTCATTCAAGTACCTATTATAAATAGCATATACAAGGATCAAACTTACATAAAAACAAAAACATAAACATGTACACCTCTGGAAACGTGTGAAGGTTGTTTTAATAAAGAAAAGAGATCGAAAGGAGGAAAGAAAGACGATAAAAGAAGTAGAAAAGAAAAGAAAAATAAAAACAAAAAATATATAAGGGCATAATGTTTTCCCATTATAACTATATTAATTTATTGTAATTATACAGCCAAGGAAAAGATAAGCCAATGAATAGCAAAACAATTGGTGAATGACATAAATCATTTTAACAACAGTCCGGTCTTAATTACAAGAACTACAGCAAAATACATTTACATGTTTAAAGGACTATGAGTACTATAACTTCATTAATTTTATAAAGTTTTCCAACCTCCCCAATTCAAAAAATACTGCAAAATTTGTACTTTTCTTGTCAACACCGAGTACATATTTACATAATTTAAGGTGTATTCTTTCACAGAGTAGATTTCTAAAGCAGTCTTGAACTTCTAAATTTCGGCAGTTTTGGAATAATTTAGTATAATTATTACTTGCACACCGACTTCTGCATTATAAAAAGGATTCCGTTTTATGGTGGAGTCAAATACATATATACTTGTTTAATCCCAGATTTCAATTTAATAAAATAATTTCTTCATTCAAAAATTGCCTTTAATGCATTTTTATAGAGCTCTGATCTTGCTACATAAAAAAAATTTCAGATACAGTAGGGTGGAGTCCAAGATATTTGTAGCTAAGCAGACAGTCTATCATTTAATTTTAAAATATCAGGTAAAGTTACTGTCAGCTTTATTAAAGATCACGACTTTTCTTTTCTAAATGTTTACCTTTTAACACCAATTGGAGCAATACTCTTCAAATTTAGTGAATCTTGCTTATATACCTTTAGCTGATGAAGATAAAATAACAATGTCATCTGCATTAATTAAACACTTAACAGTTTGTGTCTGAAATGATACTTCATCAATACACGAATCTAATTATGTTGGAAAATCATAGATAAATATTTTAGATAAGGAGGGGCTTAAATATCCCCTTTACTGTCGCAAACACCCTTGAAAAAGGATCTTAGAAGAATCTTTCAATTTTCACACATGCTTGACTATTTCATATACCAGTATGCAAAACTATATTTTCTTTGATTTATTATGAACTTCTTAATATTCATTGACGTCACTTGAGTTTGAAGGCACACAGTAACCCTTTGAAAGATTTTTCTTTTTCTTCTTTTACTAGTGCTTTTGAATTTGTATTTTCTGCTTGAATTATTGCTGTCTCGACTTTTGAGGTTTTGTTTTCAGATTGTCAATTTCTGTTTGGATTTTCTCGTTAGTTTCCCGAACTTCCGCCCTCAAGTTTCCAATTTCTGTTTGAAGTGCTGTTTGCATATCTGCCATTGACGTTTGTATGTTTGTTTGCAAATTTGTCAGTAACGCTTGCAAATTAGCTCCTTTTTGATCTGCTGTAGAAACAAAGGGAGAGCACGGCTTTAATTTATGAGGAAGACAAAAAGAATCTAAAATTCTAGTCATTGGTGTCACGAGACAGGATCCCTTTGTGCTCGTGCCTATCGCCATCCCAAGACAACTCAGTGTCTTGTCTCGGTTAATACAAAACACAAAGGCCCCCGAATCACCAGGCTCAAAAAATGTTCCATGAGGAAGACTCTGAATTTCTATTTGGTTGTACATAACAGCAGAGTTGATATTGTCTGGTAAAGCTAAAGTTTCGTTCAAAAAGCGGACATGCACTCCATTATAATAGAGATTTCCGATGGTAAACTTTGTTTTACTTCCGTATTTTATGACACTGTCTGATGCACCTGGAATTTTATTGCTTAGTCCAAGGATAGGGTCAGGATCTTTTACAGTAATAACATCGCCTTTAAAAACAGGTGGCGTATTTGAAACAAAACCTGAAATTTAAAAAGAATATGATTTATACTATTATATTTAATTCAATTTTTGAATTTAAGATATATCAAATGGAAAAATCAAGTTGTATATAAAGTAGAAAATTAAACGCAACCATTTGGTTACTGAAATGTTTTTTCATCGAATATCTGTACTTCATCAATGGAAATGTAAATTTTTTATTTATAATGGTCAAGAACACTCAGCAATAGGTGGGGCAATGAGTAATGAGAACTCTTAACATACCTGCCGAGTATAACTGGTCGGCTACAGTAACCGGGAAGCCAAAGTTTTTCACAGCTTGATCTAGTTTGATCAAAGCAGCGTCAACTAAATTTTTACTATCTGAGCACCTTTCTGGAAAACATTTATCCACTAGTTTGCCACATACATGAAATTTTTGTTGATTTTTATCAAAAACCTCTACTTCAAAATCAGATTCTTTGTCCAACATATCTTTTAATTCACTTCTCGGTATTTTCAGTTTATCTGAAGAAAATACAACATGTGAACAAGTTATAAGACCAAATGCCTCTCCATTAGGATTTTTTTGAGGATCATTTGGCAAATCCACAAAACCCCCTACACTTCCATATCCAAGAGTATGTCTTCTAGCACGACGAATATATCCTCCAAAGTCTATAGATGTACCACTTCCCAATGCATATTCCAGGCATCGATGAATAAGAGAAAGTTCCCTTGGCTTGAACTCTAATAGTTTTTTTTGTACATTCAGAAAATAAAGTGGACAAAATGATTCGGCATTTCGCAGAACGAGTCTTTTTAAAGACTTCATCACAGTTTGCCATCCATTCAAGAAAATCATCAATACTGGACTGAGAGAATGACTTAAAATTTTTGATCTGCTTTTCAGCATTACTGAAATGTAGACCTGAACAGTCGATATAATCCACACTCTTTATAATGTCTACATATTCAGTGTATTCCTTGTGATTCTCTTGATATGAATGTTGGTCGGTGAGTCTCCTTTTTCTTTTAGTTGTTTCAGCTTTTTTTGCTAAAATAATCTCAGATCCAAAGGAGTTCGTTTCTGAAATAAAATAATTAAAAATGACAAATAATTCAATACCTTGAAAAAGTTTACTCAATGTTTGCCGGATCACTTTAAACTTAAACATTTAATAGAAAAAGGGAGTTTCAAAAACTAATTCCTTAATACAAATTTCAAAAGAAATTTTTTTTGTCTTATTTTTTTCTGAATACTTCTGACCTATTATTGCAAATGGCGAAAATAATATTTTGTCTTTTTTATTACCGATCTGGTGACCTTAGGACTGTTTGAGTAAAAAATAACAACCATCTTTAAGCTAAACTAGGTCCACCAAATTATAAGTCACATTATCCAACGATGGGGTATACGATGAGAAACCGATGCGTTTTTTTGATGAAAATGGCGTGGTTGCCGGCCGGGCACCATTAGTGATTGGACGGTGACTGAGTAGTTTTTGCGAATCGGTGGGGTCATCGGTAGGAATTCGTAGTTAAAATTCAGCGATGTCTCTACCGATGCCTCACATCGCTCCTCATCGGCAACCCATCATTAAAACATCTTTAAAGGATCAGCCGATGTATGGCCGAGCATCGTCCAATATCCGTTGATTCTGAGGTCATCGGGGAGTTTAGTGGTGTTCAACAGATAACGACCGATCATCGGTCGATGTTCGACCAAACATTGGCCCGTAGTCGACCGATGTACGAACGATGTTCACCAATGTATGAGCGATGTAATATACATCGACCGATTATCCAGGAACATCGTTTTATGATTAGCAATGCATCGCTGGGCCTTTGTACGTCCGGCCTGCAACCACGCCATTTTTCTCATAAAACGCATTGGTTGCCCAACGTATATTCATCGCTGGATAATGTGACTGATTCTTTAAGGACTTCTAGGCCGATATGGACCGATGTAAGGGCATCGTTAACACCACGGATTACCACCCATAACGACTGGTCTATGGCTACCGGCCTGGAAATGTGACCTAGGCATAAACAGTTTGTTTGTTTGTGACAGGTTTTATGAAGCATTATTATTTATTTTTTATGACCTCGAATGAAGATAGCATCATATGTGACCTTCAAGATATGAACATCATCTCTATATGAGTAAAAATTCATTAATGGAACATAAAAAACATACAATCAATCATTTTTTCTATTTATCTTTGCTTGCTGAGTGTTACCCAGGAGAGTGATACAATGGAGAAACAAATAACTCATACATTATAATATTCCTTTTAATTCTATACTTCACAATTTTTGCATTATATATAAAATTCAACAATTTTACATTGAAAAGTTTTAAAACAGTACGAACAATAAACTTCTTCTTAAGATCTTGATCTTGCTGAAATGACCTTTGGTCAAGATCAAGACACACCCGCATTGTTGTACGTATAGGATTCAAATGTTATCAAAATATAGACAGGACATAAGTAAAACATTTTTATATGAAAAAAGTACTTTTTCTTGATCAAAAGAACTTAATTACAGATTAAAACAGACCTCAAGCTTTTTAAGAGGTATGGGAATTTACCTCGATATATCTACGAGAGCTGTTCAATAAATCATCTCCTCGGTACTCGGAAAGAAACAAGAAAAGTTTTTGTATGCTTTGGTCTTAATAATTTGTCTTAAATATTCTCTTTTAATTAGAATACACATCCGTAATATTTTTTCTAATGTCTGACTGTTTTTAGAATTCATTTTTGAATGTGTTCCTTCGTATACTATAATTTTGGAGATCCAATGATTTCATAGATTTGTTTCATCTTTCTGAAAGTTTTTTTTTCAAGTCTTGACATGAAACAAGTTAAAAGGAGAAAGATCTGGCGAATATTGTTGGTGTGACAATACATTAACTTCCTGTTTTTCCCCAAATATCCTTTCCTCTGTAGGGCGTGCGGGTTTGGTCACCGTCATGGGGAAATTTAAAGTAGTTTATTCCTTATCATGGATCCTTCCTCTCATAAACATTTCAGTTTATTTAAGACTTTTTTTTCTAAACTTCTCCAGAACCTTGATTGCCTCCCCGATACGAATATGAACAACAAGACCGCTAATATTTAAGAAAATAGCATATAAATCTTTGTGCTCTTGCAATACTTTGCTCTTTCAAACCTTTGCTGCTTTTGTTAAGTTTATCTTATTGTTAATTTTGTTTTGAAGCTTTTAAGCAATAGATTTAAGATTCATTATCTGTCGGAATTTCAGACAAACGTTGATAACTACAACTTCTGATTAAAAAATAATAATTGTCTAGATATTCTTACACCATGTACACGCTGTCATTTTCATTTATGTTTTAAAACATAGGGTGGCCATTGAGTATTAAGCTTTTTTACCGTCAAATGTTTCTCTAAAACAGTGCGAACTACTCCCAAAATGATTCTTATCAAATTTGCTGTGTCTTTAAGTCAATCAACAATAATAAGTGATAATTAGTTGAGTTTTGGCAAACAGTCGCTGGATGTTGTCTATAAAACACTGTTGATTGCTGTAAATTTCACATATTTCAGTGGATATTTCTTTGGGATTCTCAACGAGTTTTACCGCAGCTTTAATGAAGAGTTTCATTAATCAGATATGGATACTTAAAAATTCCAAAAACGTTTCGGAAATTTTGAAATCACAAGATTCTACTAAATTCAACAAATTTAAGACTTTTCAACTTTACACACAGCCATTCCACACAGGAAGTTTAAACTTTTCGATATCACCGACAGTTTTTTTTCCAAATGAAAATGGAACTCGAAAATTTATTTGCCTTGTCATAGGTCATTTGCCAAAGTTTTTGTTGAAAAACATTATGATTGTACATAAAAGTACGCTAAAGTTGACATCAAACAGTTGCTAGAGTTTCTAATTGAGAAAATCTTTTTGGTTTTTGAAGACCTTGTCTTTAAACAATCTTTAAAAATTCCGATGGGTACTTATTTCGCTCCGCTATAAGCAGACCTAACTTATGTATTCATATGACAAGAATTGGTGACAAGTCTTATACTTGAAAAGAAGAAAACACTTGCTCTGGCCTTCAACTCGACATTTAGATATACCCACGCCGTATAGTCTATTTTGAATGATTATTTTAATAATGATGTCAATACGATATTTCCTGGTTAGCTTGACATAAACGAAACTACAGAGTTTGACACATCTGTTTCATATTTGAGTTGTTGGCCGCGTAGCGCAGTGGTTAATATGTCTACTCAAGAGTCGCGAAGTAAGGAATTAATTCTTATGCCGCAGGTTCGAATCAACACTGAGACCGGTCCTTCAGATGAGATCGTATAAACTGAGATCCCGTTTCCCAGTAGGTGCTGGCACGAAAAAGATCCCTCACTGTTCAATGTCCCTGTGTGCTCCATCGGTAAGTGCTGGTGTCTCCATATGAGTGATTAACGTCTCGAGAGGGGCGTTAAACAAAAGACACTCAATCAATAATAGTCGGATAAACGACGTAAATGGTAATCGAAAAACCAACTCCTTCATAAACATGTTGATGTTAGATTTTCAGGGTTAGGGTAAGGGTTAGCTTCCCTTACTTATACAGCAATATACCTTCATCACCTGCACACGTACTTTAAATTTCTCAGTTAATTCGATACGCAAGACATTGCTTAAACGAGAAAAATTATTGGAAAACAAGTTGATGAAACACGAATATCAGCAGTCTCCTCTAAAGTCATCATTTAGTAAGTTCTATGCACAATGACTTGTACATCGGCAAATACAATTTATAATTGAGGTAAATGCCGACTGACGTTTTCCTCAATTCGGGTATTTATACCTGAATTGAGGACAGATTTTTTTTTCTTTATCCACCGATCAAAATAAGGTGCACACGGCGAATGAGACGGATTGGCAGAGGATGCTCAATCACCTATTGCATCTGATCCTGCCTTTGATGTTTTAAATGTCTGTGTTTGCTATCCCCCAATTTGAATTGTTTATTGGACCTTTGAAGCTTGAAATCGATTGGAATTTGATCCCTGACCTTTGACCTTTAATATAAATCATTGATCAATGTGGATTAAATTTTTGTTAATTTTTTTAGCCATTGTTTTTAATTATTTGCAAAAAAAAAAAAAATATATATATATATATATATTGGATAGTGTAAGAGAGAAAGAGAAAAAATAAAAATAATGAAAGACCTTAATTAAAAAAAAAACAATCAGTCTACTTGTAATTTTTATTTTCCGCCTTATTTTTCCGAACTGCAGACGTTTTAAAAATTCTCGAGAGTGGCGTAATTAACAATCAGTAAATCAATCAATCTTTCAATTTAGAGCATATATACTTTTACTTTTCCTACAAATGGTATCAGAATAACAGACTGCCTTTTTAGATTCAGAGTATAGAAAGTCATTTTCTGACAACTGTTTTTTTTTTTATCAGATTTTATTGTTATTTTCATGCACTCATAAAACGGTGTTACTCCACATCATTCTAGATCACCACACTTTTTCCTGGAACTGAGGACGTAATACATGGAGACTATAGTTTTTGCGTATTAAAAATATTTAGTTTATGAATAACAGAAAGGTAAAGATAATTAATATATGTACAATTTCATTGCATTTTGATAATTATAGAAGGGTATATTTAAGAAATAAACAACGTTATTCAGTGAGCATGGCGTTATGAATAGCAATTGCTCTGCTGGCATATTCCATGATGCGCGCTAGCGCATCATGGAAAATATGCCAGCAGAGCAGTTGCTATTCATAATACCATGTTCACTGAATAATCGTTGTTTATTACTTATATTTGCATTCTTTGATTTTTTTAAGAATATCAGAGGAAATCCTAACTTACATGAGGACGCGGCTTCTTGTCTTCAGTAATGAAAAACATACAGTTTTAAAATCAGTACACCTGATCAATGATCTTTTACTCTAATAAATCACAAACAATTTATAAAGTATTCCCCTCTCAAACAGTTATCTGGATACAGGCAGCGCCTTCATCACATTCTCTTAATTTTTGTTTTTATGCAGATGTGACGTCATCGATCAATGTTATTGAAACCCTCTGACAAAAATCAATAATTTAACACTGTGATGAAAAATGAAGATTCTTTTATAATGATTATTATTCCAGAATGCTTTTCTATAATTTTTTTTAGCTTTTCATATTTATTTTTAATAGCTGAAATCATTCTTGAAGTAGAAAATTTCCTCTTTCTGAGTGTTATTACCCAAGTGTGAAGAGTTATCTTTCTTTGTACAAATATATATGATATGAAAAAATAAAAATATAGCAGTTATCTACAATTTTAAAATGTTTATTATACAATTAAATACAATGACCAAAATTGAATTTTTAAGGTATAAATTAGCAATTTTAAATATTCTGAATTTCTTTTTTTTTTAAAGAATATTATTAAAAACTTATTTTTATTCCTCTTATGAAACATTTCATATATATACTTCTCAACTGGGTATATAAGTGTAGGAGAGACTGTTCTACACGAGTGTGATAGAGCAATTGCACTCATAGTAGAAGCAATTGCGTCTATAGTCCTATAAATGCAGTTGATGACTACATGTTCATAGTGGGAGATAGCAGTGGATATGCAAATATAAAATAATGAATCATTATAATGTTAACTTGATCTGATGAGATGTGTCACGCTTCTGGACACATTGCGTCTTGTTTGCTTTACTGAAGAATGTCTGTCAATATTGCACCTCGGATCAAGTAACTGCTTAAACATACAATATTTACATCCTAATATTGACAAAATTCTAGAAGCAGTGGATGATCACTGCATGCCAAAAACAAATTATGAAACTGAAAACGATAGTAATT